AAAAGGGTGGGAAAAGCAGGGAAAAACAGTGGGAATGGGGCGGGAAAAAAAGCGGGAAAAACAGGGAAAAACAGCGGGAATGGGGCGGGAAAAAGGCAGGAAAGGGGCGGGAAAGAAGTGGGGAAATGACGGGGAAAAGGCGGGAAAAAAGGTGGGAAAAGGGTGGGAAAAAGGTAGGAAAAACAGTGGGAAAGAGATGGAAAAAGAGGTGGGAAAAGGGGCAGGAAAAGGTGGGAAAAAAGTGGGAAAAGGGGAGGGAAAAGGGGCAGGAAAAGGATGGGAAAGGGGCTGGAAAATGGTCGGAAAAGGGGTGGGGAAAAAGGTGAGAAAAGGCAGGAAAAATTCGGGAAAAAGGGGGAAAGGAGCGGGAAAAGGAGCGGGAAAAGGGTGGAGAAAAGCAGGAAAAAAGGTGGAAAGAAGTGGGAAAAGGATGGGAAAAAGAGGCGGGAAAGGGCGGGAAAAGAGTGGGAAAAAGGTGGGAAAAGGGACAGGAAAGGGGTGGGGAAAAGGCCAACAAAAGTTCGGGAAAAAAAGGTGGGAAAAGGATGGGAAAAAGTGGGAAAAGGGGAGGGAAAAGGGCGGGAAAAGGATGGGGAGAATGGGAATGGGGGGCGGGATTTTTTTGGGAATGGGAATTGTGGGAATGGGATTTATTGGGAATGGGAATGAGGGATGGGAATCGTGGGAATGGGATTTTTGGGAATGGTGGGAGTTGTGGGATTTGTGGGAATTGTGGGAATGGGATTTTTGGGAATTGTGGGATTTGTGGGAATTGTGGGATTTATGGGATTTTCAGGATTTTTGGGAATTGCGGGAATGGGATTTACAGGAATCGTGGGAATGGGATTTACGGGAATTTTGGGAATGGGATTTATTTACGGGATTTGTGGGAATTGTGGGAATTGTGGGAATTGGGTTCTCTGGAATTGTGGGAATGGGATTTGTGGAAATTGTGGGATTTATGGGATTTGTGGGATTTTTGGGATTTGTGGGATTTGGGGGAATTGTGGGAATTGTGGGAATGGGATTTATGGGAATTGTGGGAATTGTGGGAAGGGGATTTGTGGGATTTATGGGAATTGTGGGAATGGGATTTGATGGGAATTGTGGGAATGGGATTTTTGGGAATTGTGGGATTTATGGGAATTGTGGGAATGGGATTTGTGGGAATTGTGAGATTGGAATTTTCGGGATTTTTGGGAATTGTGGGAATGGGATTCTCGGGATTTTCGGGAATTGTGGGAATGGGATTTACGGGAATCGCGGAAATGGGATTTATAAGATTTGTGGGATTTGTGGGATTTGTGGGAATGGGATTGTGGGAATGGGGTTCTCGGGAATTGTGGGAATGGGATTTACAGGGATTATGGGAATGGGATTTACGGGATTTGTGGGAATCGTGGGAATTGTGGGATTTGTGGGAATGGTATTTATGGGATTTGTGGGATTTTTGGGGATTGTGGGATTTGTGGGAATGGGATTTACAGGAATTATGGGAATTGTGGAATTTATGGGATTTGTGGGATTTATGGGAATTGTGGGAATGGGATTTGTGGGATTTGGGGGAATTGTGGGAATTGTGGGAATTGTGGGAATGGGATTTACGGGATTTGTGGGATTTGTGGGAATTGTGGGAATGGGATTCTCGGGAATTGTGGGAATGGGATTCTCGGGAATTTTGGGAATGGGATTTACGGGATTTGTGGGAATTGTGGGAATTGGGTTCTCTGGAATTGTGGGAATGGGATTTACGGGAATTGTGGGATTTATGGGATTTGTGGGATTTTTGGGAATTGTGGGATTTGGGGGAATTGTGGGATTGGTAGGAATTGTGGGAATGGGATTTACAGGAATTATGGGAATGGGATTTACGGGATTTGTGGGATTTATGGGAATTGTGGGAATGGGATTTGTGGGATTTGGGGGAATTGTGGGAATTGTGGGAGTTGTGGGAATGGGATTCTCGGGAATTGTGGGATTTCTGGGAATTGTGGGATTGGTGGGATTTATGGGAATTGTGGGATTTACGGGATTTGTGGGATTGGTGGGAATTGTGGGAATGGGATTTTCGGGAATTGTGGGAATTTCCCGGGATTTTTGGGAATGGGATTTTCAGGAATTGTGGGATCCTCCCTCTCCCCCTTCCCTTCCCCCTCTGGAATTTCCCGGGAATTGCGGCCGGGCCGATTCCGGGGATAATTCCCGGCCGGAATTCCGCAGGCTCCGCCTCCGGCTCTGGGCGTTCCCGGGCGTTTCCCGGCGGATCCGGGCGGCTCCGGGCCCCGGATCGCGGACGTGACGGAGCTGCCGCCCTCCAGCCCCGAGGGGTCCCCCGGCCACAGCCCCGGCCACAGGTGCGGCTCCCGAATCCCCAAATCCCGGGAATTCCCGGAAATCCGGGAAATCCCAAAAATCCGGGAAATCCCAAAAAAATCCTGGGAATTCCTGGAATTCTGCTGTTTCCCAAAAATCCCAGGGATTCCCAAAAATCTCATGAATTCCCAAAAAAATCCTGGGAATTCCCCCAAAAATCCTGGGAATTCCTAAAAATCCTGGGAGTTCCCAAAAAATCCTGGGAATTCACAAAAAAATCCTGGGAATTCCTAAAAATTCTGGGAATTTCCAAAAAAATCCTGGGAATTCCCAAAAAAAATCCTGGGAATTCCTAAAAATCCTGGGATTCCCAAAAAATCCTGGGAATTCCCCAAAAATTCTGGGAATTTCCAAAAAAATCCTGGAATTGGCAAAAATTCTGGGAATTTCCAAAAAAATCTGGGAATTCCCCAAAAATCCTGGGAATTCCTAAAAAATCCTGGAAATTCCTAAAAATCTGGGAATTCCTAAAAAATCCTGGGAATTTCTTAAAAAAATCTGGGAATTCCCAAAAAAATCCTGGGAATTCCCAAAAATCCTGGAAATTCCAAAAAAGATCCTGGGAATTCCCAAAAATCCTGGAATTCCCAAAAAAATCCTGGGAATTCCCAAAAAAATCCTGGGAATTCCCAAAAATCCTGGAAATTCCAAAAAAAATCCTGGGAATTCCTAAAAATCCGGGAATTCCTAAAAAATCCTGGGAATTTCAAAAAAATCCTGGGAATTCCCAAAAAATCCTGGAAATTCCTAAAAAAATCTGGGAATTCCCCCAAAAATCCTGGGAATTTCAAAAAAATCCTGGGAATCCCTAAAAAAATCTGGGAATTCCCAAAAAAATCCTGGGAATTCCTGGAATTCTGCTGCTTCTCAAAAATCCCAGGGATTCCCAAAAATCTTGGGAATTCCCCAAAAAATCCTGGGAATTCCCAAAAATCACAGGAAATTCCCAAAAATCCGGGAAATTCACAAAAATCACAGGAAATTTCAAAAAAATCCCAGGAATTCCTGGAATTCTGCTGCTTCCCAAAAATCCCGGCAATTCCCAAAAATCACAGGAATTCCCAAAAATTCAATTCCCAAAAATCCCAGAAATTCTCTAAAAGTCCAATTCCCAAATATCCAGGAGTTCTCAAAAATCCTCTGTTCCCAAAAATCCCGGGAATTCCTAAAAATCCTGGAAACTCCCAAGAATCCCAAAAATTCCCAAAAAACCCAATTCCTGAAAATCTGAAAAATTCCCCAAAATTCCTCTCCTTCCCAAAAATCCCGGAAATCCCCAAAAATCTGCTGCTTCCAAAGATTCAATTCCAGGAAATCCATTCATTCCCAAAAATCTGGGACTTCCCGGAAATCCAGGAAATTCCCAAAAAACCCCGACTTCCCAAAAATTCCCCATTCCCTGTTCCTGTTTCTCATTCCCGTTTTTCCCATTCCCGATTCCCATTTTTCCCGTTTCCCATTCCCGTTCCTGTTTCTTATTCCTGTTTTCCTCGTTCCAAATTTTCCCATTTCCCCACTCCCATTCCCGTTTTTCCCATTTTCCCATTCCCAATTCCCGGTTTTCCCATTCCCAATTCCCATTTTTCATTCCCATTTTCCTCATTCCCATTTTTCCCATTCCCATTTTTCCCATCCCCTTTTTTCCAATCCCATTTTCCCCAATCCCATTTCCCATTTTTCCCAATTCCCATTTTTCCCATTCCCATTTTCCTCATTCCCATTTTTTCCATCCCCATCCCTGTTTTTCCCATTTCTGTTTTTCCCATTTTCCCCATTCCCATTCCCATTCCCAATCCCGTTTTCCCCATTCCCATTTCCCAATTCCCATTTTTCATTCCCATTTTCCTCATTCCCATTTTTCCCATCCCCGTTTTTCCCATCCCCTTTTTCCCAATCCCGTTTTTCCCATTCCCATTTTCCCCATTCCCAATTCCCATTTCTCATTCCCATTTTTCCCAATCCCGGTTTTCCCATTTTTCCCATTCCCAATTCCCATTTCTCATTCCCATTTTTCCCCCTTCCCATTTTCCCATTCCCATCCCAGTTCCCATTCCCATCCCAATTCCCATTCCCATTCCTCCCATTCCCATTTTTCCCGTCCCAATTTTTTCCCATTCCCTTCGTTCCAATCCCATTTTTCCCATTCCCAATTCCCATTCCCCATTCCCATTTTTCCCATTCCCAATTCCTGATTCTTCATTCCCATTTTCCTCATTCCCATTTTTTCCATCCCCATCCCTGTTTTTCCCGTTCCTTTTTTTTCCCTTCCCATTTTCCCCATCCCCTTTTTTCCAATCCCATTTTCCCCATTCCAATTTCCCATTTTTCCCATTTTTCATTCCCATTTTCCTCATTCCCATTTTTCCCATCCCCATCCCTGTTTTTCCCATTCCCTTTTTCCCATTTTCCCCATTCCCATTTCCCAATTCCCATTTTTCCCCTCCCCTGTTGTCCCATTTTTCCCATTCCCAATTCCCATTTTTCATTCCCATCTTTCCCAATCCCATTTTTCCCATTCCCGTTTTTTTCCCGATCCCGTTTTTCCCATTTTTCCCATTTTTCCCATTTTTCCAATTCCCATTTTTTCCATTATCCCCTTTAATTCCCATTTTTTCCCATTTTCCCATCCCCCCATTATCCCATTTTTCCCATTATCCCATTTTTCCCATCCCCCCTTATCCCATTTTTCCCATTCCCAATTCCTGATTTTCCCAATTCCCTTTTTGCCCGTTAATTCCCATTTTTTTTCCCATTTTCCCATTCCCATTTTTCCCATTCCCATCCCCCATTTTTTCCCATTTTTCCCATTCCCAATTCCCATTTTCCATTCCCATTTTCCCATTTTTCATTCCCATTTTCCCATCCCCATTTTCCCATTTTCCCATTCCATTTCCCATTCCCGTTTTTCCCATTCCCATTCCCAATTCCCATTTTTGTTCCCATTTTTCCCGTTCCCATCCCCCCTTGTCCCATTTTTCCCACTCCCAATTCCTGATTTTCCCAATTCCCGTTTTGCCTGTTAATTCCCATTTTTTTTCCCATTTTTCCCATTTTTTTCCCATTTTTCCCATTCCCATTTTTCCCATTTTTTCCCCATTTTTTTCCCCCATTTTTCCCATTTTTTTTCCCCCATTTTTCCCCATTTTTTTCCCCATTTTTTTCCCCATTTTTTTCCCCCATTTTCCCCATTTTTTCCATTCCCATTTTTCCCGTTATTTTTCCCGTTTTTCCCGCTCATTCCCGCTGTTTTTCCCCCCGGAGCAGCCCCCCCATCCGCATCAAGGAGGAGCCTCCCAGCCCCACCCGGAGCCCGCGGCCGGAGGAGCCCCGGAACTCCGGGAATTCCGGGAATTCCGGGAATTCCGAGACCCCCCTGTCCCCCTCCACCTTCATCGACTCCATCCTGCGGGAAAACGACTCCGGAGCCGCTCCCGGGAATCCCCAATCCCAGGAAAAGTGCCTGAGCCTCGCCTGCCTCGACAAGTGAGCCGCGGGAAAAGCGGGAAAGGGGCGGGGAAAGGCGGAATTCCCGGGGAAAAAAAACGGGATGGGGACGGAATTCCCGGAATTCCCGAGGCCCGCTTTGGGATGGGGACGGAATTCTGGGAATTCTTGAAGCTCAGATCGAGATTGAGATGGAATTCCCGGAATTCCCGAAGCCCAGACCTGGAGCGGAACAGAATTCCCGGAATTCCTTGGAAAAACCGGGACTGGGGAGGAATTCCCAGAATTCCTGAAGTCTAGATCAGGATCGGGATGGGATTCCCAGAATTCCCAAAGCCCAGTTCGGGATCAGGATGGAATTCCTGGCATTCCCAAAACCCAGATCAGGATCGGGATGGGATTCCCAGAATTCCCGAAGCCCAGTTCGGGATCAGGACGGAATTCCCGGAATTCCCAAAGCCCAGTTCGGGATCAGGACGGAATTCCGGGAATTCCCAAGGCTCAGTTTGGGAGCTGGGAAAAGCTGGATCGGGACAGAATTCCTGGAATTCCCGAAGCTCAGATCGAGATTGAGATGGAATTCCCGGAATTCCCAAAGCCCAGACCTGGATCGGAACAGAATTCCGGGAATTCCCAAAGCTCAGTTGGGATCGGAACGGAATTCCAGGAATTCCTTGGAAAAACCGGGATTGGGGAGGAATTCCCAGAATTCCTGAAGTCCAGATTGGAATCGGGACGGAATTCCCAAAGCCCAGTTGGGGTTTGGAAAAACCAGGATTGGGGTGGAATTCCCAGAATTCTCCAGGCCCGGTTAGATCCTGGAAAAGCCGGATCAGGACAGAATTCCCAGAATTCCCAAAGTCCCGGTTTGGGCTGGGAAGAGCTCTGGATCAGGATGGAATTCCCAGAATTCCCAAAGCTCAGATCAGGATCGGGATGGAATTCCCGGAATTCCCAGAGCCCCAGTTTGGGATGGGGATGGAATTCCTGGAATTCTCAAAGCTCAGATCAGGATCGGGATGGAATTCCTGGAATTCCCAGAGCCCCAGTTTGGGATGGGGATGGAATTCCCAGAATTCCCAAAGCTCAGATTGGGATGGGGCTGGAATTCCCGGAATTCCCCGATCCCGCTTTTCCCGGTGTTCCCGCCCTGATCCCGATTTTCTTCTCCCGTTGTTTTTCCCGGCATTCCCGCTGTCCCGGTCCCATTGTTATTCCCGTTGTTATTCCCGTTGTTATTCCCGTTGTTATTCCCATTGTTATTCCCATTGTTTTTCCCGTTGTTATTCCCATTGTTATTCCCATTGTTATTCCCATTGTTATTCCCGTTGTTATTCCCGTTGTTATTCTCGTTCCCGTTGTTATTCCCATTGTTATTCCCATTGTTATTCCCATTGTTATTCCCGTTGTTATTCCCGTTGTTATTCCCATTGTTATTCCCATTGTTATTCTCGTTCCCATTGTTATTCCCGTTGTTATTCCCATTGTTATTCCCGTTGTTATTCCCATTGTTATTCCCGTTGTTTTTCCCGTTGTTTTTCCCGTTGTCATTCCCGCTGTTCCTGGTCCCGTCATTCCCATCATTCCGACTGTTATTCCCATTATTCCCATTGCCATTCCCATTTTTCCTGCTGTTTTTCCCATTTTTTCTCACTGTTCCCATTCCCGTTTTTCCCATTCCCGCCATCATTCCCGCTGTTGTCATTCCCGTTTTTCCCGCCGTTCCCGCTGTTATTCCCATTCCCATCATTCCCATTCCCGCTGTTCTCATTCCCGTTGTCATTCCCATTTTTTCCACCCTCATTCCCGCTGCTCTTCCCATTCCCGCCGTCGTCATTCCCATTTTTCCCCGCCATCATTCCCGTTATTTTTCCCATTGTTTTTCCCATTGTTTTTCCCATTGTTTTTCCCATTGTTTTTTCCAACTGTTCCTGTCATTCCCATTTTTTCCCGCTGTCATTCCCGCTGTCATTCCCATTTTTCCCACTGTCATTCCGGTTGTTTTCCCGGTTGTTTTCCCCGCCGTTCCGATTGTTTTTCTCACTGTTCTCGCCGTCATTCCGGTTGTTTTCCCACTGTTTTTCCCGCTGTCGTTCCGGTTGTTTTCCCGTTGTTTTTCCCGCTGTCATTCCCATTTTTCCCACTGTCATTCCCGTTTTTTTTCCCGCCGTCATTCCTGCTGTTCCCGCCGTCATTCCGGTTGTTTTTCCCGCCATTCCCGCTGTTTTTCCCGCCGTCATTCCCGTTGTTTTCCCGGTTGTTTTTCCCACCATTCCCACTGTTTTTCCCGCTGACATTCCCATTTTCTTCGCTGTCATTCCGGTTGTTTTCCCGGTTGTTTTTCCCGCTGTTCCCGCTGTTTTTCCCGCCATCATTCCGGTTGTTTTCCCACTGTTTTTCCCACTGTCATTCCGGTAGTTTTCCCGGTTGTTTTTCCCGCCATTCCTGTTGTTTTTCTCACTGTTCTCGCCGTCATTCCTGTTGTTTTCCCGTTGTTTTTCCCACTGTTCCCGCTGTTTTTCCCGCCGCCATTCCCGCTGTTCCCGCCGTCATTCCGGTTGTTTTCCCGGTTGTTTTTCCCGCCGTTCCTCTTGTTTTTCTCACTGTTCTCGGCGTCATTCCGGTTGTTTTTCCCACTGTCATTCCCACTCTTTTTCCCGCTGTTCCCGCTGTTTTTCCCGCCGTCATTCCAGTTGTTTTCCCGGTTGTTTTTCCCGCCGTTCTGGTTGTTTTTCCCGCTGTCATTCCGGTTGTTTTCCCGGTTGTTTTCCCCGCCGTTCCGGTTGTTTTTCTCACTGTTCTCGCCGTCATTCCGGTTGTTTTTCCCACTGTTTTTCCCGCTGTCGTTCCGGTTGTTTTCCCGGTTGTTTTTCCCGCCCTTCCCATTGTTTTTCCCGCTGTCATTCCCATTTTCCCCGCCATCATTCCGGTTGTTTTTCCTGCCGTCATTCCAATTGTTTTCCCGGTTGTTTTTCCCGCCGTTCCTCTTGTTTTTCTCACTGTTTTCGGCGTCATTCCGGTTGTTTTTCCCACTGTCATTCCCACTCTTTTTCCCGCTGTTCCCGCTGTTTTTCCCGCCGTCATTCCGGTTGTTTTCCCGGTTGTTTTTCCCACCCTTCCCATTGTTTTTCCCGCTGTCATTCCCATTTTTCCCGCCGTCATTCCAGTTGTTCTCCCGGTTGTTTTTCCCGCCGTCATTCTGGTTGTTTTTCTCGCCGTTCCCGGTTGTTTTTCCCGCCGTCATTCCGGTTGTTTTCCCGGTTGTTTTTCCCGCCGTCATTCCGGTTGTTTTCCCGTTGTTTTTCCCGCTGTTCCCGCTGTTTTTCCCGCCGTCGTTCCTGTTGTTTTCCCGTTGTTTTTCCCACTGTCATTCCCATTTTTCCTGCCGTCATTCCGGTTGTTTTCCCGGTTGTTTTTCCCGCCATTCCGGTTGTTTTTCCTGCCGTCATTCCGGTTGTTTTCCCGTTGTTTTTCCCACTGTCATTCCCATTTTTCCTGCTGTCATTCCCGTTGTTTTCCTTGTTTTTCCCGCCATTCCCATTGTTTTTCCTGCTGTCATTCCCATTTTCCCCACCATCATTCCGGTTGTTTTTCCCGCCGTCATTCCCGTTGTTCTCCCAGTTGTTTTTCCCGCCGTTCCTGGTTGTTTTTGCCGCCATTCCCGCTGTTTTTCCCGCCGTCATTCCGGTTGTTTTCCCGGTTGTTTTTCCCACCCTTCCCATTGTTTTTCCCGCTGTCATTCCCATTTTTCCCGCCGTCATTCCGGTTGTTTTCCCGGTTGTTTTTCCCGCTGTTCCCGCTGTTTTTCCCGCCGTCATTCCCGTTGTTTTCCCATTGTTTTTCCCACTGTCATTCCCATTTTTCCTGCCGTCATTCCCGTTGTTTTCCTTGTTGTTTTTCCCGCCATTCCCATTGTTTTTCCCGCTGTCATTCCCATTTTCCCCGCCATCATTCCAGTTGTTTTCCCGGTTGTTTTTCCCGCCGTCATTCCCGGTTGTTTTCCCGCCGTTCCGGTTGTTTTTCCCGCCGTCATTCCGGTTGTTTTCCCAGCAGGGCGGAGCTGAGCGAGCACCTGGACACGATCGACTCCGGCCTGGAGAACCTGCAGGCGCTGCTCAGCACCCACGGCTTCAGCATGGACAGCGCCCTGCTCGACGTGAGCCCCCTTCCCAAATCCCAGGGAATTCCCAAAGAATTCCCAAAATCCCAAAAAAAATCCCCCCAAAAAAAATTCCCCCCCAAAAATCCCGCAAAATTCCCCCAAAAATCCCCAAAGAAACCCCATCAAATTCCCAAATTCTCCTGCTGAACATGAGCCGCGTTCCCAAATCCCAGGAAATTCCCAAAGAATTCCCAAAATCCCCCCAAAAAAATCCCCGCAGAATTCCCAAAAAAAATTCCCCAAAAAAGCCCCGCAAAATTCCTCCAAAAATTCCCCCAAAAAATCCCCAGAGAAACCCCATCAAATTCCCAAATTCTTCTGCTCGATGTGAGCAACATTCCCAAATCCCAAAATCCCGAAATTCCCGAAAAAAATCCCTGCAGAATTCCTAAAAAAAATCCCCAAAAAAATCCCCAAAAAATTCCCAAAAAATTCCAAAAAAAATCCCAAAAAATTCCCCAAAAATTCCCCCCAAAATCCCCACAGAATTCCCAAATTCTCCTGCTCGATGTGAGCGGCGTTCCCAAAATCCCAAATTCCCAAAGAATTCCCAAAATCCTGAAAAAATCCCCCCAAAAATTCCCCCAGAATTCCCCAAAAAAATTCCCAAAAAAATTCCCCAAAAATTCCCCAAAAATTCCCACAAAATTTCCCAAAAATCCCCACAGAATTCCCAAATTCTCCTGCTCGACGTGAGCAGCATTCCCAAATTCCACGGGAGAATTCCCAAAGGAATTCCCAAAATCCCCCCCCAAAAAAATCCCCAAAAAAATTCCTGTAAAATTCCCCAAAACCCCCAAAATTCCCCAAAAAATCCCCAAAGAATCCCAGCCAAATTCCCAAATTTTCCCACTCGACGTGAGGAGAGCAGCATTCCCAAATCCCAGGGAATTAATTCCCAAAGGAATTCCCCAAATCTCTGGAAAATTCCCCAAATCCCAGCAAAATCCCCACAAAATTCCCAAAAATCCCCGAAAAATTCCCCCCAAAAATTCCAAAAAAATCCCAAAAAAACCCCTCAAATTCCCAAATTCTCCCGGTTGACGTGAGCGCCATTCCCAAAGGAATTTTTATGGGATAATTCCCAAGGAATTCCCAAAATCCTCCCAAAAAATCTTCCAAAAAATCTCAGCAAAATTCAAAAAAACTCCCAAAAAATTCCCAAAAAATTCCCAAAAATCCCCACAGAATTCCCCTGCTCAATGTCGGCAGCATTCCCAAATCCCTAAAGGGAGAATTCCCAAGGAATTCCCAAAGGAATTCCCAGATTCCCAAAATCCCCCCAAAAAAATCTCAGCAAAATTCCCCCCAAAAAAATCCCCTCAAAATTCCCGTAAAATTCCCACAAAATCCCTCAGAATTCCCAAAAAATCCCCAGAGAATCCCGGCCAAATTCCCAAATTCTCCTGCTCTATGGGAGCGCCGTTCCCAAAGGAATTCCCAAAGAATCCCCAAAAAAATTCCTCGAATTCCAAAAAAAATTCCCCAAATCCCCAAAAAAATTCCCCAAATCCCCCCCCAAAAATTCCCAATTCCCAAAAAAATTCCCCCAAAATTTCCACCGAATTCCCAAGTTTTCTTGCTCAACGTGAGCAGCATTCCCAAATTCCAGGGAATTCCCAAAGGAATTCTTCAAATCCCGCCAAAAAATCCCAAAATCCCCCCAAAAAATCCCAGCAAAATTCCAGAGAAATTCCAAAAAAAATGCCTAAAAAATTCCCAAAAATCCTCACGGAATTCCCAAAGAATTCCCAAATCCCTGAAAAATCCCAGCAAAATTTCTCCGAAAAAAATTCCCACAGAATTCCCAAAAATTCCCACAAAATCCCTGCAGAATTCCCTAAAAATTCCTGCAGAACCCCTGAATTCCTTAAAAATCCCCACAGAATTCCCAAATTCCCCCCAAAATTCCTGCAGGATTCCCAAATTCCCGAATAATTCCTGCAGAATTCCCAAAAAAATTCCCGCAGGATTCCTCAATTCCCAAAGAATTCCCCCAAAATTCCCCCAATTCCTGGGAAATCCCAAATAATTGCTGCAGAATTCCCAAAAAATCCCCACAAAATTCCTGAATTCCCAAAAAAATCCCCACAGAATCCCTGAATTCCCGCAGAATTCCCAAACAATTCCCACAAACTCCCCAAATCCCCCCAAAAAATCCCAAATTCCCACCAAATCCCCACGGAATTCTTGGGAAATCTGTCCTTTTCCCGGGAATTCCGGGTTTTTCCTGGCTCTCATTCTTGTTTTTTCTGGGAATTCCGGCTTTTTCCCGGGAATTTTGGCTTTTTCCCGCCTCCCATTCCCATTTTTCCTGGGAATTCTGGCTTTTTCCTGGTTCCCATTCCTATTTTTCCCAGGAATTCCCATTTTTCCTGGGAATTCTGGGTTTTTCCCACCTCCCATTCCCTTTTTTCCCGGGAATTCCAGGTTTTTCCCATCTCACATTCCCATTTTTCTCAGGAATTCCAGTTCTTCCCGGGTCCCATTCCCATTTTTCCCAGGAATGCCGGCTTTTTCCTGGGAATTCCGGGTTTTTCCCACCTCCCATTCCCATATTTCCCGGGAATTCCGGCTTTTTCTCGCCTTCCATTCCCGTTTTTCCCTGGAATTCCGGGTTTTTCCCACCTCCCATTCCCATTTTTCGCGGGAATTCCGGGTTTTTCCCAGGAATTCCGGGTTTTTCCCGGCTCCCATTCCCATTTTTCCCTGGAATTCTGGGTTTTCCCAGGAATTCTGGCTTTTTCCTGCCTCCCATTCCCCTTTTTCCCGGCAATTCCGGGTTTTTCCCTGGAATTCCAGGTTTTTCCCACCTCCCATTCCCATTTTTCCCAGGAATGCCAGCTTTTTCCTGGGAATTCCGGGGTTTTCCCGCCTCCCATTCCCATTTTTCCCAGGAATTCCCGGGTTTTCCTGGGAATTCCGGGTTTTTCCCGCCTCCCATTCCCGTTTTTCCTGGGAATTCCGGGTTTTTCCCTGGAATTCCGGGTTTTTCCCGCCTCCCATTCCTGTTTTTCCCGGGAATTCCGGGTTTTTCCCGGGAATTCCGGGTTTTTCCCGCCTCCCATTCCCTTTTTTCCCGGGAATTCCGGGGTTTTCCCGCCTCCCATTCCTGTTTTTCCCTGGAATTCCGGGTTTTTCCCAGCTCCCATTCCCGTTTTTCCCGGGAATTCTGGGTTTTCCCAGGAATTCCGGCTTTTTCCCGGCTCCCATTCCCCTTTTTCCCGGGAATTCCCATTTTTCCTGGGAATTCTGGCTTTTTCCCGCCTCCCATTCTTGTTTTTTCTGGGAATTCCGGTTTTTCCCATCTCCCATTCCCCTTTTTCCCGGGAATTCCGGGTTTTTCCCGCCCCCCATTCCCATTTTTCCCAGGAATGCCAGCTTTTTCCTGGGAATTCCGGGTTTTTCCCGCCTCCCATTCCCATTTTTCCCGGGAATTCCGGGTTTTTCCCGGCTCCCATTCCCGTTTTTCCCGGCAATTCCGGGTTTTTCCCGGGAATTCCGGGTTTTTCCCGCCTCCCATTCCCATTTTTCCCGGGAATTCCAGGTTTTTCCGCCTCCCATTCCCGTTTTTCCCGGGAATTCTGGGTTTTTCCCTGGAATTCTGGGTTTTTCCCGCCTCCCATTCCCATTTTTCCCGGGAATTCCGGCTTTTTCCCGCCTCCCATTCCCGTTTTTCCCGCAGCTCTTCAGCCCTTCCGTGGCGGTTCCGGACGTGACCCTGCCGGACCTGGACAGCAGCTTGGCCAGCGTGAGCTCGGAATTCCGTGGGAATTCTGGGGAAAAATTCCGGGAATTCCAGGAAAAAAATCTGGGAATTCCAGGAAAAAAAAAAAATCCCCGCCCCCACGGAGGAAAAATCCCGGATTTTCCCTGGAAAATCCTTGGAATTCCTCAGGAATTTGATCCCAAATCCCAGCCCGGCTCCGGGTTTTCCATGGAAAATCTCAGAGGGATTTTTTTGGGATGGATTTTCCCGGTGGAATTCCGGGATTTTGGGGTTTTTTGGGAATAATTTGGGAGATTCCCGGGGTTTCTTTGGGATGTTTTGTGGGAATGTTTCGGTCTCGGAAGGAGAGGGGGGATCCCGGAGCGGCTCCGGAATTCCCGGAATTCCGCGGGATGGGG